GCACCGCCTCCCTTGCCTTCCCGGGAAAACCACCACTGACTCACACCCAAGTGGACAGGTCCATTTGAGATTCTCGAAATATTCCCTAACCAGGTCAATGTAGCGATTAAGCAGAGGGGAAAACGACATGTGGTGCATAAAAACCTTCTAAAAAAGCATTTTGCCTATAACATTTTTTTTTCTCTTTAGAACACACGCATATGCTGAATTCCATAATCAACCACCAGAAAATTTAGCCCACATGGATACATTTCCACACCATACGGAAATGTATTATGAACGTAAAACTAATATCAAACTACACAATAGTGATTGGACAATTGTGACATTTATCGACACGTCCCATTATAAATCCAAATTCGACACTCTCATGCATTTCTATAATGCAACAGGTCAGATCTGTTCACAGCTAAAAAATAAAATTAGCGTGATGGAATTTTCAGAAGCCTGTCATCAGTTTGATCGGGCAACCCTTCCATATCTCTTCGAAATCGAATCCAATCATAATGCAATACAGAGTTCACTTGGACACGACATTGATAATGAAAATTCCCGCGTCCGGCGAAGTATCAGCAGCTCACTAAAGTCGTTAACCAAAACAATTTTCGGCTCATACCCCATATTGAACTCTGAATCTATCTTCAGTAAAATTGTAGACCTCGCAAAGTCTAAATTAACTGCTACAAGTGTAGTGAATGAAAAGATCCGGTTGATTCAAACCACAACCTACGATATCACCAAGACGGTCAAAAATCTGAATGATACTCAAGGCGAACTTGAAAGAAACCTCCAGCTTCTAAACGTTCAAGTCAGAAAAAATACACAAACCATCAACATGTTACTCACGAAAACAGCTTTGTTAGAACAATCCACAATTTAGAAAAATCCTTCTAAATCAATATGCGTACGAAACGCAAAGTATAGTTGCAATTATCAACTCTGCTATTCATGGCAAAATCCATACTACAATTTTACCTCCTAACAAGTTGCTTTCTCAACTACGGGAAATACAGTTGGAACTCCCCACTGGCAGTCAACTTCCACTAGAAATTGACAGTCGGAATATCCCTGAATTCCTATCAATATCTTCTACATCCATTTTCCACCGAGATGACTTTTCATCATTTTTCTATTGCACTTTCCAATAGTCACAATCGATGAGTATAATCTCTATCACCCAATACCTTTACCATTTTATCTAGACAATAACAACGTTGTTTTGATAGCCCCTGATCATGAATACGTAGCAATTAGCGATGACAGTGAGTTTTATCTAACTTTAAGTCAACCGCAGAATGAAGCATGTATACAACTTAAACCGTATACTCTGTGTAAAGGTAACCAACCTATTTACCGTAAGTCCTCTTCTAATCTATGTGAAATCATATTATTAGATAACCCCCAAACATTACCAGAATCATGCCAAATCAAATATGTATCCTATAACAATAATATATGGAATAGGTTATCGAATACCAATTCCTGGATATATTGTACGCGAGATGAACTAGTCACAATTAATTGTAAATCTCCCCAACGCACCTTTTCTGTTTATATAAAAGGCATTGGTCGACTAACTATATCTCCCACCTGTAAGGTTCATACTACAACATCAATTCTACACCCATTTCACTTGTGTTGTTCTACGTCTTAGTCCTACATCTTAAGTTAAACCATACTATTTAATATTGTTGTTTAATGTTATTCTATGTCTATCGTGTAACTAACATTATTTTTGTTGCGTTAATTCTATTAAATAAATTCTAATTCATACGGAAACGAGTGTTGTTTCAACTTATTTACTTTGGTCACCTTGGAGCCCTAGGCCCGCATAACAATATATTTATTATACATAAATTATATATCATATAATTATTTTATATATTATACATAAATATAATAATAATAATACACTTTGTTTAAGTATATTGTATTCAATTAATTTAAATGGAAACTGAAATAGATATACAAATTTTTAGTTGTATTGGAACGTTTTTGTTATTTTTTTATACTTTTGGAACCCCCAAAATTCGGCCTAACTTATGCCACTGATACACTGTATTTCTGTATAAAGTGATTTATAGTGATTGGTGGTTTTTATTTAATAGGAAGGTGCCTACCAATGGCTCTTATGTCCACTGTGTGGTTTTAGATTATGGCACCAATACAAAAACTTAGTAAGGAGTTTTTAACTCAAAGCGAGAGAGTATAAAAAAATACGGAGAGAGAAGATAAAAAATGAACCATTTTTGGCAGCCATTGAAACAGAAAAAAAATATGAAACAAAAAAAAACAAAAACAGCTAAAACTAGTAAAATATATGAATGAGAGAGAGTAGTCTATAAAACGCCGAATCTGGGGATCAAAGGAAGCCGCCACCAATTAAAAATGTGCAAGATCAGCATTTTTCTGGGGATCAAAGGAAGCCGCGGGTAAAAATTTGCAAGATCAGCATTTTTCTGGAAGCAGCGGACAATTAAAAACCCATTAAAATTCCGATGATATCAATGGAATGTGCAAATTTGTTTGCAACAAATGACGTCACGTGAGTGTATTATATTGTCAGCTGACGTCATTTTTGTTGCAACAAACGCATAGCTGACGTAATATTGACATAGGTCATGCATTGCATGCAATTTTTTTTTTTATTAAATTTTAATTGCAATAAATGACGTAGAATATTGTTATCACAAAGCTACGTGATGACGTCAAATCGGTATATTATAATTATCATACGCCCCACGCAAAAATATCCGAGGTAAATGTGACGGTCACACACGTGGTACGATTTCATCATAGCTGCGCGCTCGTGTTAACTTACCTTTTACCATGCGGCGGCGGCTGCGGCTGCTGCTGCGGCTCCGGGTTTTCAATAATTAAATTTTAGTTTAGTGTGAGTAGTGATTTACAATGGACTTGTTGCGAAAAATCGACAATCAACTCGAAAGATTGTTTATAACGTTTCCAGAACGGAGCACGTTTTTCAAATCAGTGTCGAAAATGTCAAGAAAATATTCAATTATGAAAAACATGGCGCAACAACTTGGAATTTCTACAGCAGAAAACGAAGACAAATATTCTAGTTGTATTTGTAATTCCACAGGAGGGGATCAAATCGATGGTCTATGCACATGCGCAATCATTAAAAATGTATATAATGATCTTCAAGATGAATTAAACAAAATTATGAGTTTGGAATTGGAATAAAGTTTGAAATAAAAAATTACAATTTTTTTTTTTTTTATTATTTTATAAAAATATTAGATGATAAATAAATGTATAGAAAAAGAGAATCAGTAGAGTATGTCAATTCATCAAAATGACAAGTTATCAGAGAGAAGAGCTTTTAAAAAAAAAAAAAATTGCAAATGTTTCAAGAAAATTCTCAATAATGAAAATGTATACTGAACACCGTGGATATTTTAAAAATACAGATGGTCAATACCCGATGTGTATTTGTAATTCAGCGGAGAGGAAACACAGCGATGTCGCATGCCCGTGTTCAACATTCAAAAGAATTTACAATAAACTTTATGATGAATTAAATAAAATTATGAGTGGTACACTGGAATGATGTTGATAATGGAAAAATTATTAAAATCTCTGTATTAATATTAAATGATAAATAAGTATACAGAAAATTAGTGTCAGTAGTCTACAACAGTCCGTCGAGATGGCAAGCCAACAGAAGCAACAACACTCTGATTACTTAATCGGTACGTCAGTGTACGATATTGATTCTCTAACTCGCTTGCATATCGGATTGGACTCTAGAGATTTATTTTGGCCAAAAATCGTGATTCTCAATGGAATCGACCAGATTGCTATAAATATTCAATTTTTACAACGATTATATGCAATATATCCATACTTCGCTTCACTTACCGGGACCTTGGACGGAGTGGTTATATTACAAGATAAGTACACTACCATACGAGTACTGGAAGCATATACAACTAAAATTTATATGATTATTGAATCACAATCAATTATTGAACACCATACAACGGACGACACAATTCAGAAATCAGAAACTTGGTTGACTCTCGACTCGGCAAAACGATTGTATAAATTAAAGAATATAATATTTGACAACATATACCGTAAGTTGATACTCACAAGACCACGCATTGTGCGAGAAATAAAAATCATATTAAAACATGCTGTCAACAATATTGATGACGATGTAACTGACAAACTGCCAATGCCAAAGAATAAAATTAACGAGAGTATGCTATACTTTCATGAAATCATAAAAACAGTGTACATGAAAAAATGTTTGGATTTCATTTCAAGAGTCATCTTTGTGAAAAATAGTCCTAGAATAAAGGTATTAATTTTGTTTTTATAAATGAGAAAAATAATAATAACAAATTCTTATAATTTAATTACAGGGTAAATATTTCAACATATTTGCTGATTTGGATCTGCTCAGAGTGTATCCCAGTATTGAATTTGATGTACTGGAACAACCGAACGGACTAGAATCATTGATGGACGTAAAACTGACGTGGAGTGAACAAGACGGAGGAAAATGGAAAATCAAATAAAAACCAATTTTTTTTTTTATAGAAAAAAAATGTAAATTTACTGATCAATAAATACCTATGTATACAATTTATTAAATATTACAATAATCAGTATTTGATTATAAAAAAAAGATTATATTATTATTAAACGATAGATATGTAAAATTAACTATTACAAAATATATAAAATTATAATTTCATAATTTCTCCACTAAATGCATTGTACTCCATCTGACAATCATGAATAATCACACAGTACAATGAAGTGTTATGTGGAAAAGCTTTGGCACATTCAAAGTCCAAACGCAAGTCAACCGTAGATGATTTAACAGTGTCATTCTGTTTCGAACAGTCTATAACTATGATTGGACCGAGTTTCTTGTAGTGGACACGGTCCAGTAAAGGTTGAGGATTAGTACGTCCATAGTATATTGATTGAAAACGAGCGTACGCGTTGTACATTGATGTGTATTAGCCAGCGTCGAAATCGGCATTGTAGTTCTCGTACGGGTACTCGTCAGAGTTCAAGTAAGTTTTGACGTTGCGCAGTGTACAGTTTTGAAAGTGTGATTTGGACAGTATGGAATGTTCTTTGCCCAGTGCTATGAGCAAATAACGTGGTTTCTCTACGTTTGAAAAAGTCCGTACCGACCATGTGTGATGAGTGGTTTGAGGAACCAGAGGATACACCGCAATGTCCCATTGTTGAAATTCCAAAGGCAACCACTTCTTCGAGTCCAGAATGCGCATCAGACCCAATTCGGTTTTCACATTGGGTTCAAAGTATTTCACGATCCATTTGATTTTAGTAATTTTCACCGAGGTCTGTTTGAGTAGTTCAACGTTTGCCGCGGTATTCACTTCGGTCTTCTTGCTCTCTTCCGGTTGTAACAACTCTACGGCTCCAGTGTCCCGACTCGATCGGATGAGCACAAGTGATTGTGTACAGTTGATCAGGACACGGCGGTACCGTTCGAAAAAGCCCAAGCACGCTGACATAGGGTACTGTGCGACAAACTCTGACTTGTCCATCAGATCTCGACTGGTCTGATTATCCTTGATATGTTTCCATCCGGCCGGCTGCATCCGTGTGATATCGTTGGGTGTAAACGAACATAATCCTTTGATTGTAGTCACTATGCCAACGTTTTTGACCTTGTCAATCTCCTTACCGTTAACCTCATACCGTATCTCGTCAAACAAATGCATGAGACCGTTCTGTGTGAACATCATTTCACCCGAGGCCGCCGTGGGTTTATCTAAATATGTCCAATATGTCTAATATGGCAATGTCCACAATTGACCGTGTTGAATTTTTGATAACGACTGTAGTTGTAGTCAATCGTACAGTCTTTAAAATACTTTTGAACCTCCAGTGGTGGTGGCAAGTTTCCAAAACTATCGAAGTAGCTAATGTGTTGTCCTTGCTTCCGGTAAGCTACCCAATGCGAACCTGGATTGCGCTCCAAGTCCATATTAATGACACCCGCTTCCGAGGTGTACGGAGCAGGCGGAAGCGTGTCCCGGCAATACACTCCTCGAAATCTCGGTATATTGCACCGTGCAAAATTCGATATTTCAAAGTCGAACAGTGCACGATTGGGTAGCTGGGCTATTAGTTTTTTGTTTTCTTCTTTATTGATACCCGTCGTCGTTTACCATTGCTGTTGCTGCTGCGGTTCTTCTTCTTTTTGATTGATTTTCCACCAAAGCCTTCCCAACTCTGTTGTTGTTGTTGTTTATCAACTTGTAACTCGAACCCGATTTGTACGGTCGCAAATAAAATCCTTTACTAATTTTGAATTGTTGACCACCAGCACCACCGTGACGATTATTAATTTCATTGGCAACTTTTACTACATTTGCAGCTCCTCCGGCCAAAGCTCCCAATGCCGAGAGACCGGCAAAAATCGGAATGAGTGGTAGTACCCCACCGACTTTTGGAATCGCTATCGTCCGGGGCAAACGTACAGATATCTTTCTCTTCTTTGCACCCGTCTTCTTATTCTTGCTATTGCTCTTCGCCTTTTTCACAATCACTCGTTTCGCGGCCAAAATCGATCGCTTTGCCGTAATCAAATCATCCGAATGGCTATCAATACGTTTCGCTGCGCCTACAACGCTCCGGAATCCCATGCCGAGTTTCCGTTTCACTTTCATGGCGTTTGTCACGACCCAAGCTACGGCACGTTCCTTCATATTTGAATCTTTGGCTTTAACTCTGTCCCACGCTCGATGTTCCAAAACTTGATCGGCACGATGTCTGTCCGAGAGTGATTTGCTCTGAGAGTACGCAATATCGTGATCACGGCAAGCCGAATCCAATGGGTTGATTCCACGATCACCGCGAGCCAACCGCTTAGCTAATTTCGTACCGGGCACAGCAAATTGATATCCAGGCACGTGTGCTTTAAACGGAAGGTTGTCAATGACTGAATTTAAAATGCCCGAACCACTGCGGCGGTGTCTCTTAACTTTGCGTTTAATAGCAACCATCTTAAAAGTTCTCCAATAGTCTACACCAATGTGTCACTGACAGCAGCAGTATTAACACTATACTGACGTGTGTTGCGAGCACATGTACAACGATGCAATTTCAGAAACAATCAGTAACGCTACCGTGGTCAACTATGACGATGAAGCCAGCACTGCAGCCGCTGCGACAGTGTCAAAACACGGAAAACTTTTACCAAACACTATCAGAGCTTTAATTTGTGGCCCGTCTAATTGTGGAAAAACAAATTTAATGTTTGTACTGTTGACCGATTTGAACGGTGTGAAATTTGAAAACGATTACATTTACTCGAAATCTCTACATCAGTCCAAGTACAAACTACTCGTGGACGTGCTGAACGGAGTCAAAAACGTTTTAAATTCTAAAAAAAAAAATAAAAAGAGTACATGCCTTGTTGTTGCCCCAAGAAAAAACAATTATTTTCGTGGAGTGAAGAAACCTAAAAAAAAAAATTTTAAAAAAGGACATGCCTTGTTGTTCAAGGTCTTCCTATTATTCTTATTTTTTTTTAGGTTTCTACACTCCACGAGAATAACTGTTTTTTACACGTTCCACATGATATATGGGCTGGGTTTACATTAATTATGTAATACATTAATGATTTGTTTATTACTACCCTACAAGCTTGTACTATTTTACATGCAATTGGATTATGATTTCTAGGATTTTGATATTTTACTACATCTTGACATGCCTCGCTACAGACGGTCATGTCATTTTCCTCACTTTCATATTTAATATTTATAAAATTAAAAACCAGAATATTTTTTTCTCCAAAAATGTTAATAATATCCGGTTCCGTCATTGTATTTTTTAAAAAAAATCTATAATTATTCCTAATAAAATTCAGTTTTGCGGTATCGGTAGTGTAAATTAGATTAGTAGCAATACTATTTTCTTCAATTTCATAATCAAGGTCAAAATTATCTATAATTATTATATTGGTTCGAACGTTGTACATTCGAAGGAAGCTAAATAGTTTACAAGAATTTGAGTAGCATCTACCCTTGGATAACACATTTAAAAAAATTATAATATGTACATACGCTATTTTTTATTAATCCACTGTGGAACTGTAATTGGAGAATGTGCAGTTCTTCTCTTGAAACAAAAAAAAAAACAAATTCTATAAAATATCAATTTTTATAGTAAAAAATTAATTAATTTATGCTAGTCCTAATTAATTTTTAAAAATTTTCTATTAATAATTTTTTTCTTGGAATCAAAATTAATAACTCAACTAATATGTACACTATTTTTTTTTCATAACTGTAAAATTTAAAATTTAAATAAAATAATATTTTTTCTAATAGAAATTTTAAAATTTCTAATAAACAAAACAAATTCTATATAGTATATCAATTTTTATAGTAAAAAATTAATTATATTTATGCTAATCGTAATTAATTTTTAAAAAATATTGTATAATTAATTTTTTTCTTGGAATCAAAAATAATAACTCAACTAATGTATACACAAAATAATAATAAATAATAATAATTATTATTATTCTTATTTATTATTATTTTGTTAAATTGTAAAAATATGGATATTTGATCTATTCTAAATTTTGATTTTTTTTAAAATGTAATTATATTATTATCAAATAAAATAAATAATTATATACATACCTTTTTTTTTGAGAGAGATATGTAAATTGATGATTGAATCAACCCTGGAAATCGCAATCAATCAAACTAGATTTGAACCGCTGTAGATTTCTATTTAAATAAATAAAAACAAATTTCTAATAAACAAAACAAATTCTATATAGTATATCAATTTTTATAGTAAAAAATTAATTATATTTATGCTAATCGTAATTAATTTTTAAAAAATATTGTATAATTAATTTTTTTCTTGGAATCAAAAATAATAACTCAACTAATGTATACACTATTTTTTTTTTTATAACTGAATAATTATTTATTAGTATTTGTAAAATTGTAAAATACAATGATATTTGATCTATTCTAAATTTATAATAATAATTATTATTATTTTTATTATTTATTATTATTTTGTTAAATTGTAAAATATAATGATGTTTGATCTATTCTAAATTTTGATTTTTTTAAAAATGTAATACTATTATTATAATTAACTAAAAATAAATCAAAAGAAAAACCGGTAAATAAATCTGTACAAACGAGTACAGATATTGCCGTACAGACACAAGATCAAAGCCATGATGTGGCCGATTTAGAAGACTTTATTAACACGCGCATAAAAACATTGTTAGAGTCTAATAATTTGGATAAACTTTATGGACCTAAACACGATAAAAAAACTGGGCAAATTACTCTTGGGGGGTGTGCGTTAGTGTTCGAGGCTAAAGAAAATGTAGTTTATTACATAACACGTCATACCCATTAACCATGGGTATCATTCAGTTAATTTTTTCAAAAAACCCAGTCAACTATACTGAGTCCGATTTGGTGAACTATAAAGATATGTTATTAAAATCAAATGTTCACTTAAACAAAAACAAAACGCATATTCGAAAAGGTGGGAATAAATATAATCTCATTGTAGGCTTATTCCTCAAAGGAGACGGTCTTACTTTAACATTAAGAAAAAACGTTAAAAAAGAGCTTATATTTTGGAAAGATCCAAACGAATTGTGTGAACGTCTAAAATTACTATTAGCTTCACAAGCAGCAGGTAATACGGGTGTATCGAATGAAATCACATTAATTTGGCAAGAACTACTCGAGTATAAATTAATAAAACGAATTCCCTATGTCTAAACGGGAAATCGCCAACGAACTACACAAACCAGCAAGAAGAAACTTTGTTAAAATAAATATATATTACTAACCATAAACTATAGTCCCCTAAAGTTTTAAATTTAAAGTGGTTAAAAACCTTTACCGCGTGGTCGTAGTCATTTTGTGAAATATTACTTTCGGTTAGTGAACTATAAAAAATGATTTGATTAAAAATTATTTATTATTAGTTTATATATAGTTATTATATTTTACCTATAGAACTGCTCTATCGGTGGTAGACAGGGTTCTTCAAGCTTCTCCCATGAGTCTGTATACTCATAGCAGTAAACACCTTTACGAGTCACCAAATCTATATCGTCCGCCCCATATGCACTCAACACAGAACGGAACTTAGACTTGTCAGAACGGGCAAGGTTATTTGTTAATTTGTCAAGACTACTGGCCATAAAGCGATAACTATCCAAAAATCGGACTGAAAATTTATTCGAAATAAATTTAGAAAACGAAATGAATTTTTCCTCGCTATTAGGAATAACGTTAATTGTGTGTGGATCATGGCCTAATTCAGTAACGATTATATGCGAGTCATAAGACGATAAATTGTGGAAAATGCAACTTACAAACTTTGGACTTTGCATTTTTAAATTGCACCTATTACAAACGTTTTTTCTGTATCTACCGCTTAAATGGTGGTGATCGCATACCGGATGATTTAATATTGAAAATTTGCAATTACAGAGAGGGCATTGACCGCCGTTCACGACAGCCTTATGGTTGCTATCGTCCTGTGTCGACATGCGTATAGGGGTATTAACGTTTAAAAGCTGCTCGATATTACGTGCTACATCGGTTATTCTTTGAATAAAATGTTTTGGCACATCATTTAATTCGCTGTTTTTATTGCCGCTGTAAACAACCGGAGTTTGTGGTATGTTGAATCGATCTAACAACTCTTTTGGGAC